CCCCCCCGTCAATGGTCCAAAAAGAGCCCTCGGGAAAGGGCAGCGGGACTTACCGACTGAAGTTCCGCGACCACCCTTCAGCCCCCCCCCTCTCTACCACCCCTACCTCCCCACCGGTCTGGCCTCTCTAATTCAAGGGCTTATTCATTCGGCAAGCAGAATGGCCATGACGTGTACTTCGATGAATGGAGAGACGCGTGTGCGTGGCGACTGTAAATATGGTACGAGGACGCACAATGAGGATCAGAAGGATCCAGCATCCGCATGACCGATTGTGCGTCGCTTGTATGCAGGAAAGGAGGGGGTTGCTTCGATCACGTGTCATTTTTTGTCTCTTCCGTAACGGACGAGAATTTAATTTTGGATTAGGTATTCGTTTTATGGATGAAACTGATTTTCCTTTTTTTTTCTTCTTTTTTTTAATTTTTTTTTTCCACCAAAATCCTCGACTTTGGTCCATCGAGGCGAATGGAGAGAATGGTGATGGAAAAAAAATGGGATAAGGAAGTTACTCAATATCGGGATTCTAATAGCGAGTCGTAAATCGGCAGGTGGGGAGGAGGCACAGGGGGTGGTGGGGTTCATGGCGTCGGAGGCAATGGGCTTCTCCTACCCGCTTGCTCGCTGCTTACTTTCTCTCTGAGTCACCAGGCTGCGACCTCGTCTCTTGATTTGATCCACTTGTTTCTCTACGCCGAAAGCCACCTTCGCACGCTGCTCGGTATTGGAATTTTCAAACCAGCCGCCACGGCTGGTTCTTGGCCGTCAGCTGTCTCCGTGAACGTAGCCAGAGACGCCTGCGGAAAATTGATCAAGACACCCAAAGATCGTGGCTCTTGGTATACAGTCGTACGGCCCTGTCGGAGAGATATGTGCGGAAAGGATTTTTTTTTGATATCGGCGAATAAAATTGTACGTTGAGTACGGTACCTTTAATTAGAATTCTGCTTTACACCTCGAGATTGAAGCCTTTGCGGTCGTAGTTTGTTTTCTTTGTTCAATTGTTCTTTTTCTCGGCTGCTTTCGCGAATTTCGATGATTTTACGAGGAACGAGCGAAAGTAGCGGCAATTGGAGCTGAACGGTGGACGTTGCTGTCTGCTGCAACGCCGAATGTTTTCTCTAGTCTCGCAGGCCGGCATTCCTCTACCGCGCTACGAGCATTGCTACCTATGTATGTGGGTTGAAGAATTTTTTTTTTGTTATTTTTTTCATTAAAATTACGGACTGTTTATTCTACCGAGCTTTACGAAAATTTTATTAAAAAATTCCCATGCTTCGGGTACAACAGTTATAAGGGTTACCTGATCAGCCTGAAATTCCAGCGAAGTAATGTTTTCCGTAAGCGCCGTAATCGCGAATGGCGCCAGTTGCTTTTTCGATCGGAGGAAACACGTTGACTATGGAGGAAGGCGGGTAGAGGATTTCGAGAGAAGGAGAATATAATACGGAGACAAAGCGAACGGCTGCTCTCGCCGAAGAGAGAGAAGCCCAGCGTCGGTACCTGATCGCTGTACTCGTGCGGCCTTCGTCAGATCGGCGCGCAGCCTCCCTGCCTCCTGGATCCTACGATTTCTACATCGGCACGTTATTGCTTCTCGGACGGCTTTTCAGCCATAGAAGCACGTTTTAGATTGGTCGTTTTTGCGATTACAAGTCTCAACCACCGTCTCTCTACTGGATATCGATATTTGACGCCATCTTGATTCACGGAGCTCAGACGAATTTCAACGATTAAAGATTCGTCGGCTGATCTGATGACGTTAAAAAGATGCCGTCCAATCCGCGAGGACCGATCGTTCTATTGGATATCGGAGGTGGCGCACCCTGGTGAGTTAGAGAAAGTACTGCTGTTGAAATTGTATGGAGTTCAGGGACCTTGGACTCCCTGGTAGGGTCTCTCGACCTTTCGTCTGGGTAGGAATTTTTTAACAATTTTCACCGAAGACGTTTATCATATTTCTTGTGTATTAGGTGCTCCTCTTTGATTTTCCGTGAAATCGATAATCGTACAATCGTTTGGCTGTCTTCTTGAACTTTACTCGTTCCCAGCTTCATGGAAGCTTCGTAGCGGTCACGTGTCTTACGGACTGTTGCGCGTACAGGTTATGTTTGGTTGGCCTGTGTAAAAAGGAAATCGTGAAATTTCCCATGGTATTTAGACATCGCGAGTAAAATGCGTTTGACAAGTGTCCGTTGTACTCGTAAACGAGTCTACGTCTATTTGTCAATCCGTGACACGGAGTGAAGTAACTAAAATTCATAACGTGCCGCGTCCCAAGCACACCCTGGGTGGTAGATTTATAAACAAAAGTAAATCGGGAAATTAGCGTGTCTCTGTCAGGAGAGAACGAAGGGGAATGACAAAGTGACATATATAAGTTAAAGGCCGTTTTCAAGTAAACCGATTGAACGTTAAAAGTCAGGCTGAAAAAATGTTCTATTGACGCAGACAGCGTCCTCGAACGAAAACTAACCTCAAAGACGTTTCAATAATCTGTCGAAATTGGCACGGGTCTTATCCTTTGTTCACAGATGCATATTTCTATTTGAATTTTGGCGCGCTCCCCAACGACTCCGGCTCGATCGGGTCTATTAGAAATGGCGAACAGGATGAGCGTTCACGTTGTAAACGACGATAGCAACAACAACAACAACGTCAGAAATTGCGACGCGTAAAACATCAGTGACTAACGACAAGGTCCCCGCAGGTTATTACCGCCCAACTGAATCATAGTCGACGTGCTCGCCTCGGCGTGAGACGTGTTTTTAGCGTTCGCCCTGCTACGACTTGTCGGCGTCCTTCGAAAACGCCGGAATTTCCTTGAGACAGTTAAACCACGCTACGGAGTAATGCATATATAGAAGCTACTGCCTGCGATCCCGGATGAGTCAGCCAGAAGTCGCACGCGGTGATTCCGTCGTTTATTCCTGGAGAGGCGAAGAGACTGCGGTGGTATGGACCACCAAAGACAGATAGAAAATAAAAATATATACAACGAGGGAGAAAGGAGACAGAGTAGCCGGTAAATAAACTCTTCGAGAGATTACAAACCATAACGTTACACCGGCACGTAAATAAGAACGTCCGTTACTCTTGGTAAAAAACAAATGAACGTCACTTCGACCGACTCAAAATATATTTCGAATTTACGAAATTTCTCTATTCGATCTGCGACAAGTTGACGCTCGTACGGACAAGGTCGTACCGGGCCGACGGTTCTACCTCGAAATACCGAGAATTCCTCGAGCAACGGACAAAGCCGTCGTCTGGTCGTTGATCCTTAGAAACGCAGTTGTAACTTGGCCTACGCGATGAGTCTAGCGCTTCGTCTATTATAATCCTCCAAGCTGTATTCGCTATATATACAATAAACAATACGTATAAATACACGTCGCTAGGTTACGTCTCTTATTTTCGAAGACTTTCGAGCGCACTCGCGCGTAACCTACCAAAGTCCTGCGTCGTAGACCAAACAAAAGTGGCTTATCAGTGCTGCCAACCGCAGCATCGGCGCAGCTCTCGACCTATTCTTTCTCCCTCTGGGCCTCAATAATATCCCCATAGATGGCGGGACTTCGAACTCGCACCTGGAAAACGACAGATGACACATAGACAGAGGTTATCGTCCTCTTAAAACTTCATACGCGAACTTGGAATCGAGTTTGCCGATCAATCGTATATATATTATTTAATTCTTTTGAATTTCTTATCGCCATTATACCCGACCCTGACTTACGCTTGTTGCAACGTCCCAGCTACGACAGCTCCCAGACTTTTTTAATACCAATATCATCCGAGACATCGCGCACCTATCGACTTGGCATATCGTGTATCGTATCGAACGACTACCAGTGCACAATGACGATTAATCAGTGATAACAGCGATAACATGCTATTACTCGATAAAATTATATCTCGCTGTAAGTTCAGGCTGGTTATCAAAATTTGACGATTTTCAAAGTTAACTCGAAGAATTTCGAATCTTTGGTATTAAATTTTTCAAATTCACTTCGTAAAACAATATTTCACGGTCCATCGAAAAATTACACTTTGCCCCTCTCTCTCTTTCTCACTCCTGTCATCAGTCCAGTTCTCTGACGCGTGAGGAGGAAACATGGCGCTGTGCCCTAACGTTGGCAAGTGGCAATATTTTTTTTTTTTTTTTTTTTTTTTTAAAAAATTTT